GTTTAGTGTTTAGATGCCGGGCCCGTCTAACCGTGACCCCCTCTTACTTCACTATACTACTTAGTCCAACTGTGTCCATTAGGGAGTGGATTTGTTCGAAGATTTGCAGTTTCAGATCAGGTCTCGGGAAGAGTAGGTTCTTAGTGTTGAATGGTATGTTGTTGGTCTCCATTGTTCTCACTAGTTCCCTTCTCTCCTCCTCGTATACCTCGCAGTCTACCAGGACATGGTTGGCGGTACATTCTTCTCCGCACTCACAGATGATGACTTGGTGTTTGTAGTCTCGCAGTCGCTCTTTCACCCTTAGCTTCGATATAAGTCTACAAATATCTCTTCTAGGGTGATTGAGTGTTGTCTTTGTGTAGATCTTGTCATCCAGCCGGAATCTGTATGTGTCAAGTTCAACGAGATTTAATTCCCAGATTGAATTGACGTGTCTTTTGACCATACTGTAGATTTCCGTGGTGCTGTAGTCTATGGTGCGGAGTGGTGCTGTGTCCCTGAGACCTTCATTGGCGAGTCGATCTGCCTCCTCGTTTCCTCTAATGTTGACATGTGATGGAATCCACACGAGTTCTACTTTGCTTCCCTTCTCTAAAACCCTCTGGTACAGCTGCCTGATTTCCAAAATGACTTCTGGTCTTGAGTCCGAGTTGTCATTTTGGATTGAAATCAGACTGCTCAGAGAGTCGCTTGGAATGACGAACTTACTAGTCTTTTGATGGGAAATCCATGATATAGCGTCACGAATGGCCACAAGCTCTGCAGTGTACACCGAACAGTTATTGGGCAGTTTCCTGCTTATTCCCTGTTCCCCGTTTGGCAGGTATATTCCAAACGAGCTGGTGCCCCTTTCAGGATTGCGTGAGCCATCCGTGTACACATGGTCCCGGTCATCAGACGGCCAGTTGTCTTCCAGGTGTTCTAGAGAGAAAGCACGTGCAGCAGTGGGGTTGTTTTTCTTGTCGGTTTTCTGTAGTAGATCTAGATTAACCGGCGGTATAGGGAGCGTCCAAGGGGCGATCACTGGGGGGTCGTGTTCATTTATCACGAGCTCCCCCAGTCGCAGTTCCTTGATTGTTTCCCTGATACCCTGGCCGAAGCTTTTCTTTCTAGGATCTCTCACATATCTTGTATTTTTTAGACTGACAAAGGTTGGGGATCTTTCGCCCAGTTGCGAGATATTAGCCCAGTACCTTGTCGCTAGTTCTTTTCTTCTTAGGGATAGGGGCAACTCCCCGACTTCCTGCAGTAGTGCCTCTCTCCCAGTCCCTTGCCCTACGCCAGTCGCAATACACAGAGCTTTGTATTGGATGGTGTCAAGCTTCCTTAAGAGTAATGGCGCGCAGTTCATGAAGGCCAGAGAGCCGTAGTCTAATACAGCTCGTATTAAAGCACGATACACCATCATTAGTGTGACTCTGTTGGCCCCCCCAAGTGCTGCCCGTTATTTTCCTCATTAAGTTTAGGATTTTGGTGCATCTATCTACAGTCTCGTCGATGTGCGGTTTCCAGGTCAGCCTTCGGTCAAAGATTACGCCAAGGAACTTGGTTTGGTCTTTAAACTCGATGGTTTTCCCGTTCATACACAGAGTCATTCTGCTTATCCCTCTATCCCTGCTTACAAGCATTACGACTGTTTTCTTCTCCGAGACTTTGAATCCCCAATCGTTTGCCCATGCCATGAATTTGTCTAAGGCCTTCTGCATTTTCTTTTGTAGTTCACAGAAGTTCCTCCCTTTCCTCCATATGGTACTGTCATCAGCAAATTTAGCTAACTCAGTTTTGGCGTCGAGGTAGGACGATTTCTGTATGTCGTTGATCATGATATTGAAGAGAGTGGGACTGATAACCGATCCCTGAGGCGTGCCATTTTCTAATGTTTGTACGGCACTCAGGAATCTGCCAACATTCACCTGTATCTTTCTATCGCTCAGAAAGCTTTTGATCCATGGAAACATTATGCCCGTTATACCAATACGTCCTAACTTGAAGAGCAGCCCGTCTAGCCAGACTAAATCGAAAGCCTTAGTTAAATCTACGAACACGACACATAACAGGTTCCCAGAGAGGAGTGCCTGCGACATGACTTTCTGTAGTCTCACCAAGTGGTCCGTTGTTGAACGCCCTTTCCTGAACCCGCTTTGATTTTCGTCGATCAGTCGGTTGCTCTCCAGATAGAACTGTAGTCGTATGTTAACCATTGTTTCCATTGTTAACCTTTTTTGTCTTCACTCAAACGCTTTAATCTGTCAGATCCTGCGTCATTGACAAGGGGAACCAAACTGGAAAATTCCGAGGAACCTTCTTAGCCAATTAGAATTCGATTGAAAAGTCGGCGAAAACGCGTGACATATGTCAGTAGCTTACCCTTTTTGTGGACTGATTGGATTTTGATTGATTGATCAGCTTTAAGCCTCGAATCAAGAGCGGGTTGGTACGATGGGCATTTGAGCGCACTACTCGGTGGGCGGAAACCACTGGGTTAATAATGGGCCACTGGGCTTGAATAAAAGAAACTTCTGAAAAAGTAATATTTTGTGTGGTTTCTCATACCTCTCGGATTGGATTCAGTCAGATTTAAAAGTGGCTGATCACTTCTGCCCCCAACACCCACTCAACAAAATGACGACGGGCTTGGTTTGATGTTTATTTCTTGCAATCTCTTTGTAGTTTTTCTTGTCCACGGGTTTGTCTTATCTGTTTTGTTTTGCGTGTAGTGCGGCAGCCTGCGGTTATATAGGAAACAGCATAGATCGATGAAATTTCAATTCAACATATCTTTGTAAATATACTGGACCATTTATTGATTGATATTCGTTTTAGTGATTAATAATCTTTTACAATATTGTAGTTTGCAAGTGATTTCTATTACACTAAAATGACACAATGAAACTAATGAATAAGGTTCTGGCCTACATCTAGAAGGCGGAGGATGCCTAGACTGGTTTTAAGACCAAGTCCACCTCCTGACTTAAAAAGTGTCATTTTAATTTCTTAATCGAATCAGTAAATGAATTAAAAATCTTTTTTATTTTAAAAAAATAAAGTTTGTTTATTTGTGGTTTGGTTATATAGGAACAAAATGCTTGAACTCAGAAGTAACCAATTTTTACAAGGAATTTAATGGTGCTACTATTTTTGTACTTGGTTCAGAATGTTTGTGTGTTGGTTCATTATATAGTAAACCAAACGATTAAAGACACGATGCGCCATTTTAAGAAAATGAATCACTTGCAAATTACAATAATGTGAAAGATGAATCTCTAATACGAATATCAGTCCATGATTGTTCAATTCCGTTCAGTATTTACAAAGATGCGTGAAATTGAATTCCATAGAAGCTGCTCGCTTTGCAATAAGCCCGCCGCCATTTTGTTGTCCACGAGAATTTAATGATAGACCTGTTTTAAATCCGTTTAAATTCAATCCGGGACATTATCTAGCTTTAGTATTTGATTTTGTTTTCTTAATTCAATGTTAAATAATCAAGCCGCGTACATATTAGAGTGGATTAAGCCGTGAGAAATTTCATATTTTAGCGACAAATGCCAATGATGCATACTTTACTTTAAACTCAGGAGTAACCTATTTTATACAGGAAATTTAATGGGGCTTCTTATTTGTGTTCTTGTATTTAATGATACAATTGACAAATAATGCCACAGTCCTCATTAGCCCGGTCGCGGATTTTTTTCCCCAACCATCATAGCCATTGCACTTAGGCCTCTGATTGGTCAACCGTTTCCATGGAGTTCAGATTGTTTGTTGGCAGTTAGTGTGGAAGTTAGTGTGGTGCGGAACTGAATCCGAGGCGGCCTGGGCCCCGAGTCCGACTTGTTGATTTTTTTCTTATTATTTTATTTCATTGTATTTCCCTTTTTATTTCTTTTTCTCTCATTGTAAGTTTTTCTCCATTTTCAGTTATTTTTGCACATGTAATACGATGATAAAGACGGACTTTTAAATGTCCTACTTCAGTTCTAAATCGGATGGTTCTTATGCAATAGAGTGTCTACGAGTATCCTTCTTGTCTGTCATGGTGGGTTACATGTAGGTTTTTTTCCAAGTCAAGCCAGTCTAGTATAATTAGCTTTTAATACTTTTTAAATAACAGAGTTTGACTAATATCAACAAACATAAAAATCTCTTTGATAGACTCGACTGTCGTTCAGTAGTTAAGTGAGTACAAATGGTTGGACATTGGGGGAGGGGATGGGGTATACTATTACTACTACTAATGAAACAAAAAGTTGCCTAAGATTCACATGCTATACTCATAGCCTACATAACTGGACCATATAGGCCTAACATCATAGAAGCTATAATGCCAAAAGTTGCAGGCCTCTAGCTTTTTACTTGACTGCAATAAAGGCATAATGGCATAGTCAACACTATACTGTATGCGAGCGTAGTGCATCGCATGGGTAGTATAATTGCTGTAAATGTAATGTAAATGAGCCTTGGAGCAGTTGAGTCGACAAAATAACTTACCAAATTACACATTGTTTACTTTGAATATGACTTGAAAACTTTCAGCCAATCAGAGGCCGAATAGACGTACAATGGCTACGTCAGTTGGGAACAAAAATTCGCAGCCCGTTCGGTGCAGAAAAGTAGGACCTCAAACCCCATTTAATTACATTTCATAAGAAAGGAATATTCTATAATATAATTATATTATTTTATAATAATTATATAATAATTATATTACAATTTTACCAGTTGGTTCAGAAAAGTAGGAAGTTAAATCCCATTCCATTTCCGTTCCTTTCCTGTAATAATGTTATAATTTTCTATAATTTTTATAATTTTATAATACACGTGTAGCGAGCGCTTATATAAATTAATCAATGAGTTTGTTATACGTGATCTTTGATGCTAGAAATCGTGTAATCCGATTGGATGTTTGACTCTATTCAAGTCGTCTGCATTTATCTATATAAGGTAGGAGGTATTTATTACCAGTTATAATAGAAGCACTTCAAAATATTGACACAGTAACCATTGTTTTGAGTATTCTATAAAATCGCTTTATTGGAATAGGAAAAAATTACGCTTTTGTAGTTGCTGTGTTCAATACGTATGAACGATGAAGTTTTTGTAAGCTATATCATTTACGATTGCAAGAAGCTTGCACCAAAAGGAGTTTAAACCCAGTACAGTAAGTCCATTTATAGATCTCGTTTCGAAGTTGTCAATTATTCATCGAGTTAGTTAAACAAAGATTACTACTTTATAATCAGGTTTGCAGTAGGGAATTCTACTTTATAATCACCTTTGTATATGAAATGGTGATTAACGTCCTACCGTTCTGAACCAACTGAACTAATGAAGACGGGCATAGGTTATATTATATGTCATGAGGCAAATTTTGTCCGGACATCGGCCTTTCCGCCTACCTTTCCCTGAACTCTAAGTGTCCAGGGATCTTCTACGTGCATGCCACTGAGTACAAGGGCGAATCTCGGTTTTTAGTCCGATCCGAACGACATGACAAGGAGACACCGGACAGAAAAATCTCAAAGAAATTTAGCGGTCAACACCGGGACAAAAAACAGGACCTCGTGGTTAGCGGACCCCATGGTTAGTGAACTTGCCCTATTACCGAGCTACCGTGGGTCCTTTAAAGGCGAAAAAATAGATTATCTTGATTTGCTGGGACAAGTATATGCCTACTATACTTTCATTTCGGAAGAATAAAATCACTGGACCTCTTTGATTTAATTGTGGGATGTCAATCGCTCTTAAAGCCAGTGTCGCAACATAACCGATTTTGCTTTCCACTTTCGACAAAAGTAAGCTCAAATGTAGGTTAAAATTTAATCTTACGGAACTTTCCCATCACTTAAATCAAAATAATACGCCAGATCACTCCGGGAGTCACGGTGGCTCAATGAGTAAGGAGCTGGCTCACTAACCAGGAGGTCCGTGGTTCGATCAAGGTGTTGGTCTAGAAAGTTACTCGGGATTTTCCAGCGTGACTTCCCCTTGACAATTGTGCAAAGGTTTCTTTTACCCGCATGCCAATGTGTACATGGAATTTCGGCTATTCGTCCCATCCGCAAAAATAGACACTGTTTCTCGCCAGGCCCTCTATCATGTAGCACTGACAAGGGGAAACCATGCCGGAAAATCCTGCGGACCTTTCTCGAACAGCGTCTTACTCACTGAGCCACCGTGGCTCTCATGTCTTCACTAAATTCAAGGGCGTCTGTATTTCAGGTAACGCGTCCCCTCTTCATTAACCCAGTCGATGCAGAAAAGTAGGACGTTGCACCCCATTTCATTTCATTTCATATCCCAAAAGTATCGACACAAAAACCCGATTCACACTTGTTCGGGGTATCCCTTGTCTTATTTTTAGGATGGCACTAGACCAGTGATTCTCAACCAGTGTATCGCGGCACACACGTGTCCCACGAGATCTTCCTAAGTGTGCCGCGAAATTTTGAACTAAGAAATTGCGAAAAACCATGTGATCCCAATTGAGTATTCACTGGTGTCTACTGGTAACTTCATAGCTGCGTTTTTCTTTATTTACTTTGAGTCATTCTGTGTGTCTATGACTAGTCTCTGTCTACGGATCTATGCCGTACATGACTTGCCATGTTTTTATTTTGCAAAATTCAAATATTTCTCATATAATATTTAGCCAGGTGTGACGATATTTTTTCATGTGTTCCAAGGTGTGCCGTTGGCAAAAAAGGGTTGAGAACCACTGCACTAGACTCTGAGATTCTACTGACAATTGGAATTAGATTAGGAGTAGCTGGAAACGACCGGGTAAATTCTCTTCCAACGCTTTGCACACATACCCCCCCCCCCCCCAACTTTTACTGTAAAAATGACCGATATAGGTATTTAAGTTTACATAACATACAAAATAATCAAAATAAATTAAGACTCCGACTGGACGTTAACCTCTCGTTCTATTATTTATTTTGTTGCGTGAACGTTTCGATTATGTGCTAAGCCAATTTCATGACCCTGAGATCGACGATAAATAGCCTCCAACATACAAGATACAATTCTTTACATCAAGACAATTTCATGACCCTGAGATCGATGAGGGCAATTATTGATTACTGATTAGCAGAGATTGTAACCGGATGATATTAATTATATTTCGATTAATTAGTAATCTATTGATCGATTATAGATCAATTGATTCTATTCGTCCCGTTTCGTTTATTAATCGACTGATCATAATAACTCTAGTTTCCATTCATGTAAACCCTTTTGTTAGAAGAATTATGAGAATTCCTTGCCTTCATTCATGACGTTAGAACCTACTATGATTTCAAATTAAATGTCATACACATCCATGAAGTTAGAAGCTACAGGGGCGGTCTGGATAGCTCTGGGCACTTGGATCACGTCCGACGGTCCGAGCCCCAGTCCGCCACTGAGAACATATACTACTATGATTCCAGATTAAAGGCCATACACATTTATGAGGTTAGAACCTATGATCCCAGATTAAAGGCTTGCACATCCATGAGGTTAGAACCTACTATGATTTAAAGTAGCTAAGTCTCTAACTCAATATCATCCAAAATCTTCAACTTTGAAAACACGAATTATTTGTCAATTTAAATCAACATTGATGCTGTGATCTTACGGAAAAAGATGGGCTTCTGATATCGAATATTTAAGACAAAATAAACATTTTACCATTGGTACACGAATCGTGTACCATAATGCGTTTCAGCCCCAGTTCTAGCAAGAGACTCGGGGAATGAGGCTAGACACATTGCACCAAATCAAACGGCATATGTAGACTGGAATAACCAGACGCTAGAAATTTGAATTCAATTGAGACTGCTGGCTTATTTCGTGGAACATAACTGATTTGAAATTAGAGTAAAAACGGAAACCATTGAATGTAAATCAGTTTATATACATTCATATTACAGTATTATGTTGCAACCCGCTTCTGTCAATTTCTAGGTCCCAAATGTTAGCGATTTAGCTCCTTTAAGATTAAAGGCCATACACTCATACATAGTAGGTTTGTCGCACTATGTTTGAGTGTGGCTAAGGGGGCGCCCTACAAGACACCAAGAATCACATAACGTAGACCCCATCACGAGACACCATTCTATTACACAAACAACTTGAATCCGACCTATCCAAAGTAAGTATTGTTACACCATTGGTTCTTCAAGTCACATCTCTTTTTAATTCCATAAATACTTTTATTCTTCCAAACATATAATGTACACGATTTCTTAGTTTAATGACCCCTTAGTTAGCTTGTGTTGTGGGAGCTCTGGTCCTAACTGGGCACTCTGACCGTAACTAACGCTCTGGTCTTAACTCGGTTGTTGTTCTTAGTGTTTAACACCCGCTTCCACCGAGGGTGATATCGCAGGCAATGGTTTTCACTCGGGACCTGGTCCCAACTTTTAAACCCTTAGGGTCAGCTGTCCAACCCCTGATTGGATATTCTTCAGTCGAGGATGGGCTATGCTCCGATTGGGTAGGAAACGTTAGCTAATCAGCTACAGACAAAAGTTGAGCGTGTGTCTTCGGTAACTACTTAAGGATGTCAAAACGATTACTTACCTGGGGGATTGGGATGACCTAGTGGTCTAGAGTGCCGCGCTTCGACCTCTAGCTGGCCGGTCACCTCTGGCTTGCGGCTGTAGTTTCGATCCCTCGTGTGAGTGTATGTGGAGATAGGGGCGCCTTCTCAACCTCGTGGGTTTGCTCCGGGTGGGTTTCCTCCCACAGGAAAGACCCCTGTGCGTGCGCTAAGATAATAAAAATTAAAAATAAGACTTGTCTGCGATATCACCTTCGGTGGAAGCGGACGTCAAACACGAAGAACAACAATATTACATAAATACAGGTCAACAGACATTACATAACTCAGTCTAACCATCTGGTAATGGGTCAACCAGCTGTTCGTGAAGCTTTCTGTACAGGTCAACGTACATTACATATCATATCAGCCTAACCATTCAGTCGTGAGTTATTTTTAATTAATACCACCCTTTCACGTATCACAGCTGACATAATAAGGATATTTTATTAATCCCGCTTTCATGTGTAAAAGCTGACATGACAACGTTTCCATAATATCCCCCTATTGTGTAACAATCATTTCATCCTTAAAGAAAAAGTTATAAAATAACCTTTTAAGATCAATAGCTAATCAAAAATAACTGGAGATTTTATAAACGGAGTTGACAATAACTACACTCTTTGAAATAATATAAACAACAATAAGAAAAGAATATACTCTGATTAAAAGTCATATAAATAAAAGTCAGTATTAAGTCAAAAGAATAAAACACTGATTGAAAGTTATAAATACAGTTTTAAAACGGTCACGGTACCCGTCTGTTTGTTTGCTTTGTCTTTCAAGATCACTTATAACTTTTGTTCCACGATCACTTTTACACATCACAATGCCACACATGCGATGAAGAATCGCGGGGTATTTCAGTCACATAATAAAAAGTTTACTAACGGCCATGATTGACATGATAAGGATATTTAATTAATCCTGCTTCCATGTATCAAAGCTGACATGATACCGTTTCCATAATACCCCCCTATTGTGGAATAGTGTTCTAGTTGTTTGAATGGTCTACAGTCATGGATTGTTTGGGTGATTTCCTGAGCGCGCTAGCATTCACCATATGGACCCACAAAAGACATCATTCTGATTTCACATAAACAACATGAAAACGTAAATTGGAAAGTCCGACTACTGTTCTCTAAATTACTACTAACCAACGGTCGATGTTTAGATTTCTGTAATTCCCCTCTTTAAGTGCGTCAAAAGGCGCGTTAGAATTCACCCACACATTATGTGGACTCTATCAAGACATTCTGATATCACCCAAACAACTTGAAAGTTTGGAAAGGCCAGCGTGTAGATAACCCCATGCTTCCACTTTAAATAGAGATTGTTTTTATTAATTATCCCTGTAAAAATATTAAAAAATCAACATTTACGATAAAGCGTTATTAATTACATATATTCTAACAGAGAAGTTGCTAAGCAACATAATGTATAGTTTATGAAATATTGCATGATGCTTATTGACAGTCTTATTTCTGGCTTTCCGAAGGTGTTCACTGACTGCCATTTCAGACAATAATATAAAATAATTGAGTTAGTCGGATAAACATACCGCAATAAATTAAAACTAAACGCCCAAATTAAGTTCCTCTTGCTGAAATAATGAGCTTATTTTCAAGTTGAGTTCAATCGCCCCCACCCTCACCGGTTGATAATTTTCTACTAGTTCAGAAAAATGGCAACCTTAAATCTTTTGGAGAGAGGGCTTTTGAAATTGCTGCGCCTAAACTTTGGAATAAACTTCCACACAATATCCGCCGCATTTCATCTTTAGAAAAATTTAAAACTAGTCTCAAAACTCATCTTTTCACAATAGCCTTTAATTGATATCTAATACATGTATATTTATCCATAGTTTATTATCTGTGATATATGTCTATTTTAAGCGTATTTTTTCTATTCTTTTGTAATTTTTTATGTACATTTTTGTTCTACCTTGGTAACTATTTACGTTTGTATTTTATGTGTATTTAGTTTTGATATCTATACTTATGTTTTTGTATTTAATTGTAAAGCGCTATTGAGCACTATAGTGGAAACAGCGCTATATAAGTGTTCTTATAATAATAATAACAAATGTGGTATCACCGTAAACCAGTTTTTGTATATTAATAACATTTTAACTTTGCCGACGTCATTAAAGTTTGATTATTAATAACATTTAACTTTGCTGACGTCATTAAAGTTTTGTCTATTTATAACATTTTAACTTTGTGACGTCATTAAAGATTTGTCTATTAATAACATTTCAACTTTACTGACGTCATTAAACTTTGCCTATTAATATCATTTTAACTTTGCTGACGACATTAAAGTTTTGTCTATTAATAACATTTTAACTTTTAACTTTGCTGACGTCATTAAAGTTTTATTTATTAATAACAATTAACTGCCATCATTAAAGTTTTGTCTATTAAAATAACATTTTAACATTAAAAGTGAGTTTAATTAAATACATATATATATTATACAGAGACTTCCAACAAACTGTTCTGTCGTCCAATATCCATGTCTAAACTATCTATCTTATCAAATTAAACCCTTGACAGATGCAAATCGATGAAAAATATGCCGAAACGCCCCCGTCCGGGAAAAATACCCTCATAGCACACTTCGTAGCATATGCTCGTCTTCATTAGTCCCGTTGGTGTAGAGAAGTAGGGTGTTAAATCCGGCTTCATTTCATTTCATGTCGCGGGGTTTCTCGCATAAGAACCCCAACAGTTGGAATTCGATATAAGAGTAGGACGTAGCGCTGCTGTCCGGGTAAATTTTCGCTCATAGCACACACTGCATGGTATATGTCTGTTTAAATTATCCCGTTTGATGCAGAAAAGTAGGACGTAAAACCCCATTTCATTTCATTTCAAGTTTTATACAGTTTTGGAGCTTGTCACTCGTGTCCTTCTGTGTAAAGAAATACAGAGTAACGCAATGACAAAATTCCAGGAAATAAATCAATCTATAAATTATCTTGGTTACACTCATTAAGGCCGCGATTACGATGTATTATATTTGAAATGAGCTTTAGTAATATGTTTTCGGTATTTTTGTTTGGCAGTCAATTAGAGGCTCGCCAGTATAAATCATTCTGTTAACCGCCATCTTGGGTTACACTCTTGGAGGCCGCCATATATAACTGCCACCTTGGGTTACATTCATGGAGGCCGCCATTAAAGGTGAATAATATTATGTGAATGTAATATGTTTTAGAGAGAGAGGGAGAGAGAGAGGGGGGTTAACGTCCACTCGACACAAAATAGCTAGGTCATTTCGGGACTAACATATTCAATTTTATTTCAATAATTCGCTTGTGCGTAGGGGTCTTTAGCAGTGGGACCCCAAGAAAACCCACGAAGTTGGACAGGCGACCCTACTGCTTGACACGTACAAGTGAAGATTCGAAACCACGTCACTTGATTCAATGACAGACCTTATGATTTCATAAACCACTAGACCACCTGACCCCCTAGAGATAATGAATGAATGAAACGGGTTATACCGTCCTACCTTTCTGCTCCAACCAGAATGATGAAGAAAGGCATAATTAATACAGTGTACAGTGAGAGATATTTTGCCCCGTAGGCAATGGAATTCCAAATGTTAAGGGTTAGTTTATGTCAATAATTTTGTTTTACAATCCGAAGGACTAAACACTTTTCCTTTCAATATCCTCCCATCGGAAACACTTACACCGGGAATCAGCTCGGCCAACACCTGGATCGAACAGTGGCCCTGCTTTAGTAATATCTGAGATATTTTGGGGTTTTCGGTGGTGTTTTGAGTTTTTGTTGGGCACTCCATTACAAACACCTGGTACCCCTTCTCCACCACTCGGGTAGTCCGTATAGCTAAATATATAGACATAAGCGTTGAATATTGATATAACCAGATTTTATTTCTCTTCACGTATGGGATTAGGTAATGAGTTTGACATTTTCGGATTTCGGTGTTTTTGGGGTTTTTTTTCTTATGAACACCTTGTACCACCCCTCAGCCATAAGGGTAGTCCGTAAAGCTACATTTATCGACTGTCCTTTGACATTGAATTGAATATTGATGTTATCAATGTTTCTTTGTCTTGACGAACGATTTTTATAGGTTATTTAAATATTTAGATGTCAAACAAAGAGAAGGACCATATTCATCGTCTCATGAAACAAAAACACTTTAAGAAATTTAATATTTTAACGGATGCGGCTTTTCAGCCATAATATTCAGAAGGCTGGTAGAAATCTGAAGGTGACTGATGTCTATGTCCCCCCGACATTTTAAACATCTATCATGGTTGTGACAATAACAAGACAGGGGGTCCACAGACAAAGAATGGAGAAATATGATGGCTAGACCAATAGTGTTATCTTTTATATTATTGATTCTAACTTCATAACCACAAATATAGAAAGTATATTTTGATACGGTAACTAAGCTATAGATTAATGAACATGTTGGTCGTTTACATTTTTCTTTGTTATAAAACATATATCATATGTTGACTAAATTAGGAAGCAATATTTGTCGATATACAGGTTTGGGGTGAATGTCCATTCCATATTTTGAATTTAGCTGTTATCAGTTGTTTACGTAAATAACAGAGACAAAAGAATAAACAGAGACAACAGAATATGCACCTATATAAGGGGGCGGGGCTAGAATAATTGGGAGAGATCATGTGGATTCTTTAGACGACTATTTCATGCGGTAGTGTTTTCCTGGGTCTAGCCATGCTGGCTAGATTTTTTTTGCAGGACTGGGGTTGGAGAGAAAGAGATGTTAATTTTAAATATTGTAATGTAGACCACTGTGTAACTGTTGTGACATAAAATGTTTAGCAAAAACACTATCGTTGTTCCTGTTACTTATTTGAGTCAGTATCGTGAGAAAACACAATGATGAAGTCCTTAAGAAGAAAGATACAACAGTAGCAGTCCAGAGCCACCACCCCCCACCCCCCAATTAGACGATCAGGCCAAAAACTAAGATCTGTAGTCAGATAGTACTATATACACCGTCTTCATTATCTCAGTCGGTGCAGAAAAGTAGAACGTTAAACCCCATTTCATTTCCTCTCTGGGTTAAATGTCGAGCTTCGAGTTCTAGCTACGGCCCCACCGCCTTGGATTATGGATAGGGGCGCCTTCTTAACCTTCCGCCTGTTCCAGAGCCCCCAAATGTTTAAGAACTACATAAATTAATAGACATTTGAGTAAAAAGAAATTTATCTAGAATATATTGAAATAACTTTATTTTATAAATGTGACTTTATTCAGAAATTGGACTTTTCGGATATCAGTGATTTCTTCAGTACAGTAAACAACTTATTTGATTAAAGTTTACTAAACTAAAACAATCCCCGGTTTTACGTGACAAGGAGTAGGATCACCTGTCCAACCGCGTGGGTTTTCTCCGGGTCCTCCGGTTTCCTCCCACTGCTAAAGACCCCGAAATGACCTAGTTTGTGTCGAGAGGACGTTAAACCCCATTTCTCTCTCTAACACATGGCGGATAGGTTTTTAGCAGTATGAGAGAACCGGGGTTGGTCAGATGGCCCTACTCCTTGTCACGTACAAGTGTGGGAACAGAACCACGGCACTTGACTCAATTATGAACTAAAGCACTCCGATTAGACATGCTGTCCTCCAAAGTAACCAACCTGAGACGGACTGGTGGCTCAAGGCCCATGATGCTGGCCACATGAGGGTTCACCACTTTAAAGCGGTCCTATTTTTGAAACATTGACTGTCCATGGTGCTCTCTAGAGTATATCCTGATGTTTCTAGCCCGTGCAAAAATTTGGCGTTTGGCGAACTGACCAATTTATCACAAAAGTAAATTCAAGACTATAAAAAGGGCCGCCAAACTGAAAAATAGCCCCCAAACTACGGGAGAAAATCAACTTCGCTAGGGGCAAACGGGTCTACCAACCGCATAATGAACTAACATTTTTAATTCTAACAATATGCTTTTTATTTTTATTATTCTTTTACAGATTTTCCTGAACAAGGCCAACGCCCACATGCACAGAATAGCCGCTAGAGGCTTTTTAACAAATGTACCCTAAGTATTATTGATTATAATCCTCTACGTTGCGATCGATGGAATGTCTGACAATATAATCTGATTACCTAAGTTTGAAACCAGGTAAATTGGTTGTGATGCACAGTGACAGATTCAGTTCAGTTGACACAAGAAAAACAGACAAAGCTCACATAATCACGTCTACATTCACAATGTGTACAAAACAAACCGTGGGATCAATCATTCGAAACTGCGAGAAGTACGATATAATCTCAACAACTAAGAATGCGCTAGTGACGCGATTAAACCGTGGTAAAATCATTCGAAACACTGTGAGGAGTATGATACAACTTCAACAATAACTAAGAATGCACTAGAGACGCGACTAAACCGTGGTAAAATCATTCGAAACACTGTGAGAGGTATGAAACAACCTCAACAATAACTAAGAACGCGGTTAGTGACGCGACTAAACCGAAAGTGTGACTTTAACTAAAGACCAAACTTTATTTCCTCTGGATCAAAATGGCTAACATGGAGTAGACTTTTTCATAGCCCGATCCATTTTTTCTATTTGAATGAAATGGTTGTACGCGCGGATACCAACTGTACATTGGCAACGTTTTGTCATGTCAGTGATGATTCTAAATTCTTCACATCCAGTGTTTCCATTTCTTCTCAAATATTCGCCATTAGTACGCTAATATTCACGTGTCTCCTCGGCAACTGTTTATTATGTTTTGCTGTATTTAAAAGTCCCGCGAGACGGAGCGCTGCGTCGATCCTGTTGCTAAATTTAGCTGTTGCCGATTTTCTTGTCGGGGTATTGGTGCTACCGATGTGGATACTGCCTACGGCTCTTCTGGGGTGGCCTTTGTCGGATAACATGTGCGAGTTTGTAGCCTGTACGACAACCGTTCTAATGTTGTGTTCGGTGTTTTCGCTGTGTGGTATTTCAGTCGATAGATACTGCAACATCGCCATGCCATTGCGATACCCAATAGAAGTGACCTTAGAGCGGATAACTCTGATAGTAGTCGGTGTGTGGATTTATTGTATTCTTGTAGCCAGTTGCCCTTTGTTTGGCTGGGGAGACTATCGTTTTCAGCCGCAGACTGTTCCTATTTGTAATCCAGTCTGGGTAACCGAGATATCATTTGCCGTGTTTCTCGTTTTGTCGGGGATGGCAGTGCCTGTAGCTTTAATGTTGTTTTCTTATATTAAAATAGTTTTGATAGCACGTGATCACATCAGACGTATTGATGCAATACACAGACCCACAGAACTTCCTATTAATGAAAATAACAATAAAGTGAAAGATGAACTTCCGGTATCACAGCCGAAGTTTTCTAAAAGTCTGAAAATGGTGCAAAGAGTTTTTATTGCTGTCGGTAAGTGTGAAGACAGAATAAATAAGAAATAAGAATACCATGCATAAAATTAGCATAAATTTAAATTGACCCATTGCTGACGCATGTTTGACAGATGACGTCAATAGATACTTACCAATCAGCATTATTTACCTACATTCACAAATTTCACCGAGCATAACAAAGTCCCATTTTTAGGGACCGTTTCTTGTTTCATAGCACATTTCGTATATTCTTAGCTGCGATTTGAAATGAAAATTTAAAAAGTAGAAGCCAACGTAAAGTAACATTAGCTACCAGTTTCTCATCAACGTGAACCAAAAATTAGGAAAGTATTCTTTCATTAAAAGTTGCACATTGCTCGATAACCGCTTTCGAAGACAATTTTTTTTCAATACCAGTATTTTGTTGAACGCGGGACTGTCATTGCACTTGCGCTACTTGTATAAACAAACACTGAGCCGTGTTCGGTGTTTATCGAATTGACTCCCTACACCAGGTGGTCCCGGTTCGATCCCGGAGTTGGTCGAAAAAGTACCTCTATATTGTCGGGGCTATTTCCCAGAGTCGGGGTGGGCAAGGAAAATCCGTCTATTCGTTCACCCCCACCCCAAGGCCAACCGATGTACTGGTTGCAGTTCACGTAAAAGTACCCTTGACAGTTTAAATTCGATGGTGATTAGAAGGAAAAATTGCTGTCCCACGAACAATGTCAAACATAACACGTTTCATTTTATTTTATGAACCAAACATTCAGCATGCAAGCACATTGAATTTCATCAAAGTTACTGGTCGTCAATTTTCAAGATAAAATGTGCTAAAATTTATGATATAAAATCAAGTTAAGAAAACAAACGGACTAAAACTATGTGCGAACGGACTGAAAGTAGTAACAACCGTTTACGATCTGCTTATGAACTTCATGGACGGGAAGGTGCTCTGGAATTTTAAGTCTGTTCAAAATTTTCCCCCTTCCTGCAATTAGACGGAGTGACAAAGTGACTACGAGCGGAATTGGAATACTATGAACGGAATTGACGTACTTCGATCCAACTAGGGACCTGTTACAACGGGTTTAACCGTACTACGGACGGCTTGGAAAAGGCAAATTTACACGGTCTGAGCTTGATATGAACTAACTGTGGACGGGGTACAGACGAGATAGACGTATTGTCATATTGAGGAAATGAAATGAAATGAAATGGGGTTTAACGTCCTACTGTTTTGCTCCGAACTGGGCTAATGAAGACGGGCATACGCCATACAGTGTGCTATGAGGGAAATTTTGCCCGGACAGCGGCACTACGGCCTACTCTTATATCGAATTCCAACTGTCAAGGGATCTTTTACGTGCACGCCAATGTGTACACGGGACCTCGGTTTTTCGTCTCTTCCGAATGACTAGACAGCTGTCCTTGCCAGGCCCTCCGTCCTGCATCACTGACATGGGGGAACCACGCCGGAAAATCTGGATGAACTTTCTCGGCCAATGCAGGGATCGAACACCCGACCTCCAGGCTAGCGAGCAAGCGCCTTACCCACTTAGCCATCGTGATCCCGGTCATATTGAGGACTGTTAACTTTATGAACGTAATAGGATCGTATTAAAGATAATATTCACAGATTGTACTCCGACCACAACCCGTTTTACGATTTTCTAAGGCCTTTTCAAGGACTGACAAGGGCTTAAAGTTACAATTTCATATTTCTAAGAAAGTCAAAAAATAATTATTTCTATGTCTTTTGCTCAACAGGTTGTCAACTCACTCGGTTATCTTTCTCACACTTAAAAATATTCACACCGGAAATAATAGCACAATTACCTCCCAATTATAGGATTAATAGTATTATTCTTTAAACATACATTATGCAAGAGCTAAATCTGATTATTGCAAGTCTTTATTTAGGCTTCAGATGTCATAGAAATTATAAATTAGATCTTTATTTACACAACAAGCACAAAATCAACTCTGTAGATCCACGGATGGCTTGGATTTAGCTTGGATTTAAACGGGATTTCGTTGACCTATTTAATTTTAAATGATGTCGTGGGCGGAGATTAACCGTTACGTTGACGTCATACTCCCGGATCGAGGCTAAATGATAGAGTGTACGAAGCGAGGTCGCTGTTGAGCGATGCCTTAACAAATGACATCTAAACTATTTAAAGTGCAATAAACTAAACACAGATAATGACAAATTATACAATTCCTGGAGACTGTGTGCTGACTAATACAGACGGGCAGGTCTTCTGTCTTAATAATATCAATAAAAATATTTTTATTTCCCCAATAGGCACGACGCCACTGGTGTATACCTATAGATTCATCATAATTGTATTATAATATTGTGTCCTATATTCAATTGATTTAATGCATGCCCAAAATACAAGTAAGAATGAAAATTTACCCTCTGACTCATTTTGTCCAATTGTTATAAAAATCCAAAAAGGAAACACAAATTCAGATATGATGACAGCAGACAGCAGAGATTATGTAGGTAAAGTTAACGCCTGTCAATCAAACGATCGGCCATACTAAGAATCGGTGAAGATGGAATTCAATCCCATTTCTAGTCATAAATTACACTGGTGATAACTATGTTTAGAATAATGTAATTCGACTGAAATTTTCAATATAGTCTTCCTTCATCATCTTTTTTTGAATTGTTATAGCAAGAATGGCTAACTCCTTATAAAATCTCCCATAATGTATCTTTAACAAGGTGGGACTATTTATAGATACCATCTATTTTAGGGCTTTATTTTAATACATTTTAAAAATATAACTTAAAAATATGAAATTGTAACTTTAAGGAAAGACAATATTTTACGTGAACGCCAGTGTGTATATGAGACCTTAGCTGGCTAACCCGGGGGTCTCGTGTTCGATCCCGGTGTTGGCCGACTACGTTCATCGGGATATTCCGACGCGGTTCTCTCTTGTCAGTGTTGCAGGACAGAGGGCCTGGCAAAAGTGTCTAGTTTTTCGGATGGAATGAACAACTGAGTTCCCGGGTACACATCGGCGTGCATGCATCATAAACCTTAACAAATGGAATTCAATATAAGAGTTGGACGTAGCGTCGCGCACCGGGGAGACTTTTTCTCATGTCACACTGCATGGCGTAGGAACGTCTTAATTAGCCCAGTCGGAGCAGAACAGTAGGACGTTAAGCCCCTATTTATTTCTTTTCATTTCGTATCACTTTAAATCCAATGGGACTTTGGTGTTTCGTCCCTCAATATAAAAGAGGTCTCGCCACTTTAAACGTAAAATTCACGCGCAATGTATTTAGTAAAATGTAACTATTACTTCAGTTAGAGTACTCATGATTATACATTAAATATACATTTTAATATACGTCGATTTGATTCATTAAGAGTATAAAATAAATCCAGCAATTAACCTTTTACCGTTATAATAAAACTATACCCCATATAAACATTGGTCAAGCCATTAATATAAAACAAATATCAGAGTTAGTTAGATCGAAAGCTAATGGGCCTTAAAAGCAAAATATTTTAATCATAGATCGCGTCACGTACCGTGTATGTTTATATAGATGTACTTGATTGTATCTTTGTATATGTCGCGTTGGTTGCGTGCGTGTGTGAAGCAAAAGTGCGACGAATATTCTAGGCTGAAGATTAGGGGATTTAGGGTGACTTAGACTAGGTCGGATGGACTAGCATTCAGGCGAATATTCTAGGTTGAAGATTAGGAGATTTAGACTAGGTCCAGTGTAGTCACGATCATTCAGACGAATAGTAAAAGGAAATGGAATGAAATAGGGTTTAACGTCCTACTGTTCTGCTCCGACTGGACTAATTAAGACGGGCAAACCCCATACAGTGTGCTATGAGGGAAATTTTGCCCGGACGGCGGCACTACGACCTACTCTTATATTGAATTCTAAAGGATCTTTTACGTGCATGCCAACGTCATGATGTCGGTTTGTTATCCCATCCGAACGACTAGACACTGCCCTTTGCCGGGCCCTCCGTCCTGCACCACGGTCAAGGGAGAACCACGCCGTGCAAATTATGTGGTTCTGTTCGGTAACTGAGAATAGGAAGAGGACTTATGTAAGAGATAAATCTACTTATTAAATGTCTTTTATCTAGCATCAAACGATATAGATTATTGTTTATTAAATGGAGTAGAACACGCACCATCTAATAATTAAACGTTAAAATGGTTAAAGATGAATAATCTAAGGTTTAAATAAAGAGCTGATCGTTTTTGCAATAAAAGTTTTAAAAAAGAGAATGAAACATTAATAAATTGAAAGTTTCATTAAAATTACATTATTCTGAGCAAAGTGATCAGTGTTTGAAGTTTTGACAACATGTAGCATAGATTATTTATTATCGCAGCAGCGGTACTTGAGGATTGCGACTAAGTTTCGATTTTCCATTTGATCGTTGAATGTTTAAATCTCGTGGGTATTCAAATCCATTTAAATCTCGGTCATCCAATGATCTAGAGAGTTGATTATGGACTTGTAGTGTAAATGCATGTCTAATTAATGTTTTATATTTGAGGCCAAACGAAAGATCTGCAATTGACAGATTTAGCTGTTACATATATAATGCATCTTTAATTCAGACTTTGTTTATTATTGTAGCAGTGGTACTTGACATTGGAGTCTATCTACTCTCCATCATGCCAATACTTTCATAAATTCGCTTAGAATCATGCGATTTGTCTGAAATATTCATAGTTCATTATCTACTTCATTCATTATTCATTATCATAGTTCATCTTTAATTAACACTAAACCTCTAACGCAATATTTTCCATAATATTTAAATTAATAACACGAATAAGAATTCAATATTGGTTCATTACAATCAGTAATGATGTTGTTATCTTGCCGTGAAAATATGGGATCCTAATATACAATATATAACACATAATGAACATTTTAAAATCAGTACAAGAGTCGTGTACTGGAAGGTTTCGGTAGCCATCAGTAATGAACAAAGAAAAAACACCCCACAAGACAATGCGGAAGTA